ATTCTATTCTATTCTATTCTATTCTATTCTATTCTATTCTATTCTATAAGGGAGACAGAATTGCCCATTAAGATCTTCTTTGCAAAAACAGAATGTCTCACTTGAGTATTGGATAGCGGCTACGACACTGTCGTCAGCTCCGGAAGCAAAACAAAATATTTTTTCCCCCCATTGTCCCGGCTGTTGGGACTTGTAGCCCACGAAACCACAGGAAGCCCACGAAACCAAGGGTCCTGTCCATGGCATGCCAGCCTGCGGGCCACGTAGACGGCATGCAAAACCACACCCCCTCCAGTCCACAGGAAAACCTCTCTCCACGGAACCGGTGCCCGAAAGGTTGGGGACCACTGGACTAAACCACCACCCAAATTCCTTTCTCTTCCAATTAGAGATGGCTCAAAGTGGCAAAAAAAAAACCCCACCAAAAAAAAAAACAGGTTTCTTGGCTCCAAGACAAGGGTGCCCAACCTTGGCCACTGTAAGACTAGTGATCTTCAACTCCTAGAATTCCCCAGCCGGTTTCACCGGCTGGGGAATTCTGGGAATTGAAGTCCACAGGTCTTTAAAGTTGCCAAAGTTGACGCCTCTCTGTTCTGAGACTTTTGTGACGTCCTTCCAAAGGACAGAATTTGGGGGCCATCTGATTGGATAGGAGATGATCTTTTGACCCAAGGTCTTTCTACATTTCTAGTAAAAAGAGGCTGACTCTGTTCGTTTTGTTTACTTCTCGGTTGTAAGTTTTCGTTTAATTGTCCTCTTCTTTCTTCCATGTCTTTTTTTTCTTCCCTATTTCCCCCCCCTTTTTTTTTCCACTTCGCCACCAAGCACCTATCTAAAACCATCTTTCTTTTTAACTCCATTCGGTTCCTTCCTGTTTGCAGCCAATAAATTGGACCCTGGAAAAATAGAAGATTCTATTCAGCTGCACGCTTCCCAAAAGAGCACTTTGTACATGACTCTCTGTAGTCTTTTTTTTTTTTTCTCCCAAGTGGTACGGTGGCCTAGAGGCGGAACTCTCGCCTCACAATCAAGAGGCTGTGAGTTCGATCCTAGATAGAGGCAGATATTTCTCACTCTGGGCATGATGAGAATATATCTGCTGAACAAAACTCTCCATTGGTGACAGGAAGGGCATCCGGCCATTAAAATACTCAGCTCCATTCAGTTGCCCAGACTGCACCGGCAAGGGATTATGGAGTCATTAAAAGAAGATGATGACGCAAGTTCAGGAATAGGCAAGGTTTTAGGGTCAGTTAATGCATTGGCAATATTTAAATAAGATTGTGAGTTCTTCTTAAAATAGCTGCTGTGATTGAAATGGCCAGTCAATCAAAATATCCATTGACCAGAAGCCAGACAGTTGAAATTATATCTCGCCATCATAGGTAGTTTATCAGGATACTCAGTCGCTTTCCTGTATTATTTAGATTCTTAAAGGTTAAAGGCAGGAAGAGGCCAGGAAACCTGGCATGTTTCAAAGGAGGAGACCATCCTTGGCATGAATACGGATGATCTCATTGTCCCCAAAGGAACAGAGATGTTTCCTGCCCAAGAGCCAGGATGGTGCAGTGGTTAGAATGCAGTATTGCAGGCTAACTCTGCTGGTGGCCGGCAGTTCGAT